GACGGGCCCTCCTTCATCCCACAGCCTGGGGCTTCAGGGAGCCAGGGCGGGGCAGCGGCAGCAAGTGCCCAAGGCCCTGGCGGCTTACGTCAGTCTGTTCCACCCAACCCCCAAAAGGGTCCTATTCCCCCCAGGGAACATTCCCACCAGTGCCTCTTCCTGAAGCGCCCCCACGGCACTCCCTGGCAGCTCCCCCCACCCCAGTGGGTTGGGGCCCTTTCTTGGCAGATAAAACAATGACATAGATCTGGGGTGAGGTCCCGCCGGGAGCTGGACACAGCACAGACACTTCTCACCTCACCCTGCCTGTGACGCAGGCTCAGCGCCACGGAATTTCTGAAGGCGCGTCCCCGAGAAGTTCCGCGATGACGAGGAGGGCACTGCCCTCAGGACAACACTGTGCCCCTCCATGCAGCCCCAAGCTGGCAGAACCCGCGCCTGCCCGTTCCGGCCCTGCCCTGTCAACAACCTGGTCAGCAGGGACGCCCCCGGGGAAGAGGCTGGCCTTCACTGCTCTCTGCGTCCAGGTGGGGAGGGGGACCCAGGACACGGCCTCCACCACAGCAGGAGGGGTCCCCGCCACCCACCATCAGCCCCCTTTACACAGGAGGCACGCGGGCTAGAGAGGGCCAGGCCGAGCTCCGAGGGGTGAGTGGTCACCCAGGCCAGGCCGGCCACACCAGTTTCCCCATGGGCCACAACTGGGTCCCACACCTCAGCTCTTGGGGGGTGGGAGATCAGAGCCACGCTGTTTCCACCTGAACTGCTCAGGTTCACTCATCTGTTGAGACTCCCACCTTCTTCCCAAAAGGATGCAAGCAGGCCTTACAACCCAGCCGGAGAGGACAGGAAGAGCGAAGAGGAGGACAGCAATGGGGCCAGAGTGCTCAGCAAGGCGCCCGCAGGGCCCTGCTCAGGGTGCTCCGCAGTCAGGACAGGCAGAGGGAACGAGGGACGGCCGGCCCCTCCACATTCAGGAGGTAGGGCAGCAGGCGTCCCAGTGGCCCTGGTGGCCTCTTCACGCCTGAGTCCTTCGACCCACGGACGGCTGCTCTGGGGAGACCTTGGGCAGGCCTCTGTGCGGGGCCGGAGCAGAAGAACGGGGCCCCCCGCAGAGCCTGCAGTGCCAGCGGCTGCTGCGGGGAGCGGCCAGGCCGGGGCGCAGCTCTGCGGTGGGAGGGAGCGGGTGGGAGGGCTCCCTGGAGGAGGAGGCCTCAGACAGGAGGGCGGGGCCCCCCTCGGACCCCGGGGCTGGGGGGGAGGAGGGCAAATGCACGAGGCGGCAAGCGCGCAGAGCCCAGGGGAGATGTGCTCCTCCGGGCCCGGCCCCGCGGGGTCAGGGCAGCCGCTCGTCCCCAGGCGGCCCCGCGGGCGTCTAACCGCAGGCGACGCCGATCCGCCATCCGGAGTCCCCTTTAAAAGTTTGTCCTTAAACAAACCGCTCTCCGCCCGCCGTAGGAAGCGGGGCCGTCCCCGACGAAGCGCTGAGGACAGCGGGCCCCGCGCCCCCCACCCCTTCGGAAACAACAATGGGCGGCCGGCGACAGAGAACCGGGGACCGAGCGTGGAAACCCCCCGCCCGGCAGTGTCGGCGGCGGCGCGGGCCCGCTGCTGCCCCCGCGCGCCCCTCCGCGGCACTGCGCGCCCGGCCGAGGGCGCCGCGGTTGATCTCCTGGTTCTCAGACCCTGAGGACGCACGGCGGCGAGGGCGGGAAAGCTTGAGTTGGGGTTCTGAGACTATTTTCGGTTCAAAGGAAATTACATGTCATTCCTAAAGCCGAAATCTTATCGTGGCTTGCACTTTCCCGAAGCAGAAGCACAATGACTTGTTTTTATGTGATCATCTCATTCTACCACTAGCTATGTTCTTTTCTTTTTCTTCCACATGGAGTCAGAGATCATAGCTAAAGAAATTATGAAGTGGATATTCAGGGGACAAAGACAGTCACGGAGCAAAGAGCTGCGATTGCTTTTTCCTGGACTCTGAAATCACTCAGGGCTAGGCCCTGTCTTCAGCAAACAATTGGCCCTCCTTATATTCACATACAAACTTAGGGCTGTGGGGAGCCTTGGCTCCTGGGCAGATCCAGTAGGGAGAGGAAGGAAGCACAGAGCAAAGAGCACCTACTGAGTGCCAGGTGCTTGGCTGTGCTCTGCCCTCACTTGAAATCCACACCTGCCCTATACTGTGCATGTTTCCGCCAATTTTTTGCGGGAGGACACTGAAGGCCCCACACAGGGAGCAGCTTGAGGAAAGCTGCCCAGCCAGCAAGGGGTGGTCTGCATTCCACCCTGCTCCCAAATGTACACTGCCTCAGTGAAGCAGCTTGACTCAGGATTCGTGCTTCATCTGACTCGACTTTGAGATACAAGAAGCTCACCTAAAGCCATGGGGTCTCACAGTGCATGCGCCACACTTCAAGGGGAAAACTGAATAAAGGCCTGTAGCCAACCAAGAAGATTTTCTTCCTTCTGAGAGAATTCTGGAAAGAAAGGGCTTCCTGGCTAACTAGGGGTTCCCTAGCAGCCGTTCTGGCAGGTACGAAGCTGGATTAAGCCGCTTCCCTGGGAAAGCCGTTTATCCCCCGGTCAGGCCGCTCTGGCTCCCCTCAAAGCCCATGGAAGGGGCAGCCACCGAGTGGGGTCCCTGTGCTAGGCCCTGCTTCCTTGTCTGGGCCTCAGTTTCCCCACTGGGAAAGTGAGATTGTCACAAGACAGAGCCACAGGCCGAGCAGAGATGGTTCTGGCTCAAGCTGGCCCTTGAACAGCCTGGACCCACGTTCCTACCTGGCAGCAGGGATCTTCATCCAGGCCTTCTCACTGCCCCCGACCCCAGCCTTGGCCGCTGGCCTGGGGGAGCTGAGGGGAGTGCAAGCGTGGGTGAGGGCCGGCTCTGGAGCCAGCCAGCCCAGGATCAGAAGCCCAGCTCTGCTGACCCATGAGTGAGAGGAGCTGGGCCAGCCCTGGAGGGCCCCGTGGGCTCCAGCTGGGCCCAGACACCCAGGGCCGAGGCAGGGTGCCCACTGGGGAGGCTCCTGCTCAGGCTTCATCCACTCTGCTCTCGGGGCAGGAAAAGGAAGCACCAGAGGGAGGGGACCAGCGGCCAGCCACACGACCTTGGCCAGGGTCTTCGCCGTCTGAGGCTCAGTTCTCTCTTCCATACAATAGTTATCACAGTCTACCCCAAAAGCCTGCTGATGGGAGTGGAAATGGTGCAGCCACGATGGCTGGCACCCGGCAGTTCTGGGTAAAAATGTGCCTTAATTATGATTTACCACTCCGTAGAGGATTGTCATCTGGGTAAAGACACTTAAGGGGTTGACCCAGGGCAGCTCTGCCCACCAGGTCTGGGCTGCTGCCTCAAGGCCCATGAAGGATGACAATCCCGAACTCAGCCGGAAAAGGGGTTGAGCGACTGCAGGCAGAGGCGGGCAGCTCCAGGCACAGGGCGTGCCAGCCTAGTCCTGGCAGAGTGAGTCATCACTGGGAAGTCCGGCCTCCCCAGGCCAGGGACGCCTTAAGGCAGCTACAGGCGGAGCTTTGGGGCCCTAGGGCACACGCCTGGCCTGCTCTGGGTCGCCCCCTCCTGCGCTCAGGGCCCTGTGCTCCCCTGTCCACAGTGGGTGTGCCTCAGCCCCTTTTGGAAATGGCATGCTCCCCTCTTGGCTGGGTTTTGCGGTGTTAGAGGTCGTCTTTCCAGTTCTCCAGGTTTGCTTCCAGGAGGGCTTTCTGGTGTGATTTTATGTATTTTTAACAATTATAATTGACACGATAAACCCTCACAAACCCTCCCCTACCCCATACTTTCAGGACCCCCAACAGAAGGAAACCAGGGAGCCCCTGGCAGGGGGTGACGGGGGCGTTTGAACCCAGGCTGTCAGCCGGCCTGCCTCCCAGAGGCCACTCCAGCCTGCGTCAAAATACTAAGATCCCCTCGCGCCTCTGGCCCCTCACGTCAGGGCAGGGTGGGGTCAGGGCAGGGTGGCGTGGGTACGGGCCGCCGGACCTTCTGACCCAGCCACCAAAGCCAGAAGTGGGAATTTCTTTGTGGACTCTCACAATTTCAAATACTATTGGCTCCAGTTTCATAACTTTTTCATTGGGGTTATAATAAACACAGACAAAAACCGCACATTGGCTGAAATGCCTTTCAAAGAAGGAGGGACCCCATACAGCCAGGCCGAAGGCCTCTGCGGAAACTTCCGCTTCTCCCCACTACGGGCTCGGCGTAGCTGCGCGCCCCCGACTCCCCCTCCCTGGCCGGCCGCGACTGCTCCCGCCCCCACCGCCCCCAGGGCCCTGCAAGTCCAGCCGGGCCCCCTCGCGTTTGGAACTTCCGAGCGCCCAGTGTGCAAGGTCAACGCCTTTCGGGGTTATTGCACCCGCAGCCGGGACGTGGGGGAGGGGACCCGGGCCCCCAGAGGCGCCAGCCGCCGCTCGCCCTCCTCCAGCCCAGAGGGCCCGCCCGCGCCGGCTCAGCGTCTCCGCAGGCCTCCCCACGCCTCTGCGGAC